TTAACAGTCTGAAAAGAAATACGATCTTCTATTTGATGTATTTATCAAACGTAAATACAGTGACGTCTATAATATATTGCAATAAAAACCAAATACAATAATTTCTTCAAGTGATACACGTTCATTTCGTCGTTATCCTGTTTATAATTTAAAAACAATAAGTTTCTTTCGTTATTCCGTGGATAGAACAGCTGACGGCCAACAATGTTGTAACGAAATAATATTATTATTAACAAAGTGAAAATATATATGTAAATAAGTATTATTATTACAGAAGAAAAATGAAAAAAGAAGAGACTATTTGTTATGACGTCCATATTGATAGGCCATCCTTGTAAGCGCTGTATTAATCTGGATTCTTAGCTTGCGACGACAATATTTGCAAAAATTATTAAAATATCGTAAAAGGAATAAATATAAATATTTGTCTTACCTATAATCAAAAGCTTCGGTATTCGTTATGACCTCGAGAAAAAGAGGTCACCAGTATTCCCGCTTTCTTCATATGCAATCGATGAAACCAATATTTAAGATTGATTCACGCGCACACGTAATAAAAATTCATTGAAGTGCTGTAGGTCCTAAATATTTTTAATGAATAATTAATTAAATTATAATATTTACGAGGAATCGATTGACTTCAATTTTAACGCTCATCCTCGCGTAATTTTAAAATTAATTTCAATCGTACGACCTCCCATTATTATCATCATCAATAATCTTATCAACATTTACCAAAAAGGAATCGCAAACAATCTTCCGTTTTTTTTAATAAATCATCTGTGGAATGTACGTCGATTGGAACTATTGGTATATATTCATTGGTCATTTCAGAACTTTCATTGATTATATTTATATCTTCCGTTGCAACGGTTGTATCCAATGGTAATAATGCCGATGTCGATGATGAATTAAAAACTGAGATAGAATTCGATTCCGAAATTCGTTCGTCGATCGTACTTTTTTTATCATTTTCTTTCTTTTCTTTCGTGACGACATTCTTATTTTTATTCGGTTTCCTTCTCTTCCTTCGACGATATTCTGGAGGTATTTTCATAGCAGAACGATTATTTCTGAAGTTATTTCATAATAATTCATTGAATTAAAAGAATAAAAAAACACACACACACACGCACACACGTATACGAATAAATATTAACTCGATTCTTTCTATCGCGTCATTCTGACGATCATCAATTTTTTTTACGAATAAAAATAAATAGAATTTTTGTCTACCCTATTGTGACTAATACAAACTAGTAATTACTTTTAGCTTACTGAACAACTACATTTCCTAACAGTTCACGTTTACGCAAAGAAGAATTATCGATTCTTGATCCTTTCGAGGTTCGCTATAACCATCGTCGCGAAGAGATGGTAATAACCAGGAGCCAATGAGTGCGTAGGATAGATTAGCGGTAGGAGGAGCAAACGGTATCAACCAATCGCGTTGTTTCTTATTAAATATAAGCCAATAGCTTTTCTCAAGAGATATTATAAGAGATATGCTTTTTATAAAAAAAGAACGACAGTTGATAGCGGGAATTGTTATAGCTACGGAATTGTGGGTAAATTTTCAGACGAAATTTTCTAGAAATCAACTACGGCATTTATACGGTACGTGTAGTTCTAGTTAGAAATTTTCTTGCTCGCAATTTTTAATGGATTTTTGTCAATAATAATTCATTCGAAAGATAAAAGATCGAATCACAAGATGACATTTTTAGAATTAAAAAAAAACTATCGTTCTCTTGACCTAAAATTGTGTCGAATAAATGCGTACGTTCGGAATCTATATACATTTGAGAACAAACATTTTACGAATTGTTGTCGTCTGTATTAAATCTTAACTTTCGTAATGACACATTTACAAATAAAATAATATCTTTTGAGAGTGACAGAAATTCGTAAAGATTATCTTTACAAAATTTCATAAATTTCTTTACGAATAAATCGTTCCATCATACTATACAACTTAATTACTTATTAAAATGTGATTAGCAATGTATAATTTAGGTACAATATGTTCAAATATAATTAAAAAGAAAATATTTAAAAATAAGCAGCCATTCGCTCGGTAGTACTTGCATCCCATAAGATTCCGATATATCTCAAGTACTACCGACCCAGGTCTCACCACGTGGAGGTTGCTTCATTTGGAGATCCATGGACTAACGTAATCTTGTTATACTATTACTACTACTATTATTAATAAAAAAATCAAGCATAATAAATTACCGTCGTTCCAGATCTCTGTCTATTGAAAATTGTAAACTGATCCAATAATTGACTACAAATTTTAACTTTATTTAAATATTAATTAATCCATAGAATGTTCCTGTTTCGTTAATATTACGACTGCGAGTTCAAAATTTAACTCTATTGAAATAATAAATTAAATTATATTATATTTAAAGCGTGTTACGAGCTATGCAATATTAAATACATTATACGTCGTTTAAATAATTGTAGAATCAATGAAAGTATAAATTATTCAATTTTAGATTTATGGAAAAAGAAAAGTTCGATGTTTATTCATTGGAATACAAAAGAAAACTAATTAGATAATTTAAGAAAAAAATCATTTATTATCATGAACGGTTAAATATGTATTTCCTTATTATTAATAATAGAATCATCGCAAAACGTTTCCTTGCGTTTCGAATGAATTATAATGAAATCTGAGGACCAATTTGATTCAAAATCAGTAATGGGTCTACGAGTTTTATCGCTTTACCCACAAAATTCAAGCGGCACCATTATATGAAACTTTTTTCTCTCATGAAAAATGTTGAAAACATCGTTTAAGTCAATAGTTAGTCCAGACGTAATTCTTGATCAACAATTTTGTTGAACGAGATATCATTGTAAGAATAAAGATTTAAGCGAGGTCACAGCTTTTCTAGATTTTTTATGCGTAAATTATACTCGGTCAAACGTCACTTTTTGATACGATTTTTTTTAAAAGATAATAAAACTTAAAAAAAAATAATAAAGAATGCATCGCTACAAATCGATGAAATTTTGTATATACTTATTACAATTTAAACATTACATTTCAATCTATCCATTTTCTGATAGAGATACAGAGAGAAAGAGAGAGAGAGAGAGAGATGTTTTTAAACAGCTCACACAGTCTAGTTATATATGTAATACGTAAGAAATATAATAATGTCGGTAAAACAGAATCATGTGAAAACCGCGAGTGGCGCAACGATCGCCGTAATGCGAAAATTCTTCAGCGGCAATTTTAAATATATACAATTATTCTCTTAAATATTATATCAATATATTGTCACGTAAATAACAATTAACATCAATCAATTAGATGAATTTGCAAAATCTCATATTTATTTATGCTTTGATAATGTAAGAGATACACTTACAATATAAATTTTTATCGTTGCGTGTCATACATAAATGTATCATCTATGTATATACATATAGAGATGATATCGTTTGTATTAATTACAATAATTTTTTAATTGTACAATATCGATGTACAGTTAGGAGCGTATCATTATAGTGCTCTTAAAATCTTATGGAACGCAAACCTTTTTCATTTCTCTTTCTTTTCTTCTTTTTTTTTTTTTTTTTTTTTACGTACTGATGTTCTTTTTTAAATACTGTCATTTTCTTATTCCTTTTTCTTCTTATAGTGCTAAAATAAAAGCTTTATTAAAATGAACCACACAGAGATATATTAGTATTAATCCGTTATAAACGATTGAAATGGGTCATCGATTCTAATTCGTTTGTATTCTCATTAATCGTATTCTCCTAGACGATATTAGAAATTACGCTTTCACGTACGACGCCGCTCGTTACGCAGATAAAATTATCGAAGCTACGATATACTTTCCTATCCGTTATATATATATATATATATACACATATATATGAGTATAATTAAAATCTAAATTTCTAATCATAAATAAGCAGTGTTTGGAAGAATAGAACGTAAATCGTCCGTGAACGATATCTTCTTATTAGCTTAACAAAGTCACGAACGTAAAAGGACGAAGACGATGACTACTAGATTGTATTTCTTAAAATTCTTCCTAAAAAAAGAATTTGCATTGGAAATCTATCGGTACCAGGGACAGAAGGAAAGATATAATAGCGTGCTTTGTAGATTTCGTTCAAAGCTCCACCATGCACAGATTATTACCAGTTTTATCGATCGTTTGAAAATTCTTGGATGATATATAATATACATATATATATATATACATACGTACTGATAATTTAGGAAGAAACTTTTCATCGTGCTCGTTGTATTAAACTTAAGCCTCGCGCTTGAAAGAAAGAAAGATAAAAAATCCTTTAAATCGTGACGATTTCGTGGGAAAAGTATCGTGGTCTTTTTAAAAGGATAAAACCTCGAATTAAACGAAAGCACTTGGTTCCCGTGGTCTCTTGGCAGACAGCTTATTATTATTATGGACCTCATCGCAAATCAATATGCCTCTATTATCGGAATATAAACGACAGAAACAGTGAGGACCAATCGAGTACGCCTTTTCATCGTCTCTCGAGATGACACGAGTGAGTATAGGACAAGTCGGTCGTTAATCGTTTTCGGGCAAGGCTGAAAGGACGAGAACGGGGAGGATGAGGAAGAGAGAGGGAGAGAGAGAGAGAGAGAGAGAGAGAGAGAGAGAGAGAGAGAGAGAGAGAGAGATCATTCGGGAAGATACTCTCTTCGGAGGCAGGCGAGTATTGATTTAAGAGGTTCCCTCGAGAGTGAGCGAGAATGAGACAGAGAAGAGAAGGGGACTAGCGGGGGAGGGGATTTCCTTTCGAAATGTGCGTGGCCGAGGGTCGAGGGGAAGTTAGGCGGCTGGTGTGGGTGGTGGAGAAGCAGATGCGTGTGCGTGAACTGCTTTTTTATTCTTTTACTTTTTCTTCCTTTTTTCTCTTTATTTTTTGCGTTGCACGACCGACTCTCGCTCGTTTCCTGGCTGCCACGCCGGCTGGCCGACCACTGCACGTGGTGT